AGATAGCCTCATGAGACTTATCCGTCTTCAGTTCGGTTTTAAGTTAAACGTGTCATTTTGGACTGGTTGCCACCTTAAAAGAAGCGAATCAGGTCCGCAATGTGATTTAGCCAAACGCTTGGAGGGAGAAAAGATGAAGTTGTCTGGAAGTGAACATAACGAAGTAAGTAACACTAGTCTACACATCCATGTACCCAGGTAGTGACAAAATAAGTAATCAGCCTTGGCAGGAAGGAATAAATATGTCTGTAAGAATCAGTCAGACTGAAGTACAAACAATAGATGAGCAGGTTAGTGCGATTACCCGTGCGTACAAGAAGATGGAATGAGCCCGAAATGCGATTTGCAGGTCGGGAATACTATACCTTTTCAACTTCAAAAAATGATAATAATCAACTTCAAAATGGACTTATTTTCAGGTAAAAAAAATACTCAACTCTAAATTGGATTAATCATGTTCAAAATGGATCAATCAACTTCAAAATGGATTAATCAACTTCAAAATGGATTAATCAACTTCAAATTGGAAAACAACTTCAAAATGAGAAATAATCAACTTCAAATTGGATTAATCAACTTCAAATTGAGAATTAATATAATACTAATAAATTTAATATTTATTCTTTTATTTTTACTTAAAAGGGATATAAAAAAATATAAACGTTCATAAGAAATTTATTTAAAAGATTACATCATCTAAATTAATTACAGAGGGAAGTAATCTCTGTATTCCAGATACGAAGTTAGTGCAAGTCTCAGGGGAAATATTATTAATTGCCTCGGATATCATCGCTTCTAACTTGCGGAGGCGAAATTCTTTAGTAGTTAAGGATCCCTGGCCATCACTTCTTAAAATCCCAACAATTGAGTCTGCCATACTTCTTTTTACGTCAGCTTTAATGACTGACCAAACTTTTTCAATGGGATTTAACATTGGACCATAGGGGGCAAGTCTGAAAATTTAGTGTTGCCTAAATTCATCCTCCTCCACAACTTCTTCAATTGAAGTATGGCAAGGGGCGTTATCAATAACTAAGACAACTCCCTTTTCATAAATTTCATTTGCCTTTCTAAGGCACTCCCTTGTCCATTCTTTCGCATCCTCTTTTTTGAAAGAACCTCTTTTAATTTTATGATGAATTAATCCATTATTACTAATACATCTAATATTTCAATTTACCAAAAAATATATCTCAATTTGAAGTTGTTTATTTCAATTTGAAGTTGTTTATTCTCATTTTGAAGTTGATTGTTTTTAGGTTTTTGACATTTTCTCAATTTGAAGTTGATTAATCCATTTTGAAGTTGATTGTTCCATTTTGAAGTTGATTAATCCATTTTGAAGTTGATTAATCCATTTTGGAGTTGATTAATTTTTTTACTTGAAAATAAGTCCATTTTGAAGTTGATTATTATCATTTTGAAGTTGAAAAGGTATAGAATCAAGCAGACGTGAAGTTTAAATACCTGTGAAGCGTTTTGAAAGAGGACGGTAAATGCGACACCGAGATCCGTAGACGTATTGGGATGGCCAAAGACGCATTCCCAAAGATGGGCAAAGTACTGAGAAACAGGAGGATTTCTTTGCTAACAAAGAAACGCAGGCTGAACTGTTACGTGACATCTGTCATTCTTTACGGCAACGAGTGCTGGACGATTTCCTCAAGGATGAAGAAGAGACTCGAGGTAACGGAGATGTGGTTTTACAAAAGGATGCTGAGGATTTCGTGGAGCAACGATGAGGCCATGGAGAGGATACAGACAAGGAGGAGGCTCATGTTAACATCAGGAAGAGGCAGCTGAAGTTTCTGGGACACATAATGAGGAAGGGGGGGCCTTGAGAATCTGATACTCACGGGTCGAATAGAGGTAAAGAGAGACAAGGGAAAGCATCGCGTGAAATTACTAGCGGGCTTGAGCAGGTGAATGACAGAACGTGGTATGGGGGAGATAGCAAAGGGAAGGAACTTTTTGAGAGCTGCAAGGAAGATGTGGAGAGCCATAATCGCCTACGTCCTGAAATGAGATGGCACATAAAAAGAAAAAAAGGTGCTGATCTTGGAAGCTGTTGCTATTCAGTGCGGACCTCTTGAAAAACATCGGAAGTCTAATGAACTAATTCTTCTCTATGCTTATGGTCTGTCTTTTATATTTGTAAATACGTTCTCGTTATTACTAACATAATTTGATTACTTATATCGTTAATTTCTAACAACAATAATAATAATATGGGAGTTCCTGTTACGGTTTTTTGGGTATATAATATATAACTAGTGAGCGAGTCAAAATGACTTATTTCTCTTTATAGTCGACCAATAGAAGGTTGACCAATCAGAAGCCGCTGAACATTGTATCCGTCGTGTATAAAGGCGGCCATCTTTGTTTTCTCACCGGAAGGACCAGAGGAAACTTGTCCGGCGAACATGAGAGACGGAAGAACTACGCTCTGCTACCTTGCTGCGATATCCACTGCGAACCTGCACTACGCTTTCCTATTGTCTCCGAAATATTCACTGCCAACCTCTGGATTCTATACTCGAGGACGACCGTCATGAAAATGTCTAACAGTTTCTACAAATTGTAATGTATCTTTGAAGACCTTCAAAAAACTATCAAAATACAATGTTCACATTTTTTAGATTTCCATTTCAAGGATCTAAAAATATATGGCACATGAGGACATAAATAATTCCAGTTGTAGTTGGTGCACTCGGATTGATTGAAAAAGGTTGCCATAGACTCATTAAAGTGATTTATGGTAGCCCATGCCTTAAAGAAATACAAAAAAAAATTGTACTCACAAGTACAGCTCACACATTACGAAGAGTTGTATCTATGTATAGTATGAGTGATCTTAGATTTTTTTTTTTTACAAAAAATATCTGTGAAAATGTCATTTTCGAGCTTATGTCTCCGGTTGGGACCCGAAAGGAAAAGTGTATACAACAGCAATGAAAGGAAATAATAATAATAATAATAATAATAATAATAATAATAATAATAATGATAATAGAGTGTGTAGGTGGCAGCACTACTTGGAACTGCTCATGTGCTGAGTCATGATTATTATCATCCGGCTGAGACGATATCAAGTAATAATAATAAGGATGATATCTAGGCAAATCGAACAGATAGAATTGAAAAATCATGTTGAAAATACATGGCTTCTGATAGATGCTCTTGTTCCAACCGACAAAAACCAATGTCTGAAAACGTTGAAGAAACTAAGTAAATACAAGGACCTCGAGATAAAATCAGTAGAATGTGGCATCTGAAGACATCAGAATTACTTGTTGTCATTGATGGATTTGGAACTTGTATCAAAAGGTGCAAACAAATATATGGATCCTTATGGAACCGATGTTGAGCCGATGTCCATTACAGTATCCTCCCATCGCCTATTTTGTTACAGTTTGCCCATATTTGGCCTTCACGCAGTGTTGTTTCTACCGTTGACAAGGCACTTAATACTACATATTTCTATCAATATCATCATTTCCATCATCCTTTTATTGATACAACATTTTCCACGACTCTTGCGATTATGTAAAACATGGATTGTTTATTTTTGTGGTTGACCGAAACCACGGATGACCATAAAAAATATTAAAAATAGAACCAAATTGATTTTTCTTCTTCACATATTTAGGGTTACAAAATCCATTTGTTAAACTCGTCGTACAAATTCCTTTTGCGACATCTGGCGGAAATTTTTGCTCTAAAGCTTTTAAGGGAAGACATGAGTCGAGTTGTCCCATCACCAGTCATCTCCACTATGATATTTATACTACTCTTTATGAGCACAATAGTAAGTAAAACAAGTCGACGCCGTGATAAGAGCTTTCACAATAAGCAAATACAAACGCAAAGCCCTTAAAACAACCCACAGAAACGTGATTGACATTTTCAAATGGGAAAAAAAAATTAAATTACTTACCGTCAAATCAGATGCTCTGTCACGCATGCGCACACAGACGCGCCAAGCGAGAGAAAGAAAGAACGATAGAGAGAAGAATAGAGAGAACAAGTGTGTGTGTGTGTGTGTGAGAGAGAGAGGGAGAGAGAGAGTAAGAGAGTGAAAATAAGTAAAATAAACCTTAGCAGAGGGCGAGAGTAAGTGAGATGAGTGAAAATAGAAGATAAGTAAAATGAACTTTAGCAGAGAGAGAAATAGAGAGAGAGAGAGAGAGAGAAAGTAAGTGAGAAAGACACTGAGAATGAATGAGAGAGAGAGAGAGAAAAATAAATAGAGAGAAATAGAGAGAAACAGAGAGTGTATGAGAGCGAGTTTGATAGAGTGAAAATAAAAATTAAAATAAACCTTAACAGAGAACGTGAAATAAGAGAGTGAGTGTGAGAGAGAAATAGGAAAAGAGAGAGAGAGAGAGGTTGAAATAAAGAGATTGTATGCGTGTGTGTGTGAGAGAGAGAGAAAGAGAGAGAAAGAGAGAGAGAGAGAGAGAGAGTGAAATAAAAAAAAAATAAGTAAAATAAACGGAAACCTTAGCAGAAATTATAAACAAAATAACAAACTATATTCTTCTAATTGAAAATGTTGGATTCGCCTGAAGTTTCATTTTTGCAAATGCTGAAGAAAGTATAAGATTCCGTCTTCTCCCGCTCTTTTGGATTCTGTCCCCTTCCATTCTAAATTCTTCAAATATTTCGAAACTCCTACACCGGGCTCCCCTCGACAGAAATGTTTTCGATGATGGCTTATTTTGCTTCTTGTTTTTCTCTCTCTATAACCCCATCTTTGCTGCTCGAAGATTTTTAAGCATCACCAATGAATCCGCTGAAGAATGAGTTTTCTTGCTTTCTTTTATTTCAAGTTTATTTTGCAACCAAACAGCGCCATGTACTTTCGTAAGGTTCTTTAAGAAAAAATGCTGTTTTTTTCTTGGTGATCTTTGGTATACGTTTTGTTTCTAGCAGTTCTTCGAATTTCTCTTTCGTTTATCTTCTACATTTTTTCCTTTTCGTTGTGTCCTGTTTTACAGACATTTTATCACTATTTTTTCCTTTCTTATAAATTTATTTTTATTCTTTCCTCTTTCTTATTTCTTATACCGTTTACTACTCTTTCTTTTTTCTTTCTTATTTCGTTCTTTTTTCTCTTTCTTATTCCTTTTAATTCTCTTCTTTCTTTTTTCTTTTCTTTTTCATTTATTCTGTTTATTTTTCTTTTTTTATTTCCTCTTTCTGTATTGTTTCCTATTGTTTATATTTATATTTCCCCTACCTATATTCTTTCTTTTCTCTCTTTCATGTCCACTATTTCCATTCGGTCCTTTTTCACTTGTTTCTTTCCATCTTTATTTTTTTCCTTTTTTTAAAATTTTTTCATAGACTGTAGTCTTTCTTTTTTCTTTCTTTATGTTCCTCTTCGCTCTCTTTCTTTCCTCCACTCGCTTTTTATTCTTTCCTTCTTACCCTTTTCCTCATTTTATTCCTTCTCTCTCTATTTTTCTTCCTCATACCTCTGTTCATTTCTTTTTTCTTATTCCTTCTCTCTCAATTTTTCTTCCTGATACCTCTGTTCATTCCTTTTCTCTTATACGTTCTCTCTCAATTTTTCTTCCTGATACCTCTGTTCATATCTTTTCTCTTATTCCTTCTCTCTCTATTTTTGTTCCTGATACCTCTGTTCATTCCTTTTCTTTTTTTCCTTCTGTCTCTATTTTTCTTCCTGATACCTCTGTTCATCCCTTTTCTCTTTCATTCCTTCTCTCTCTATTTTTCTTCCCGATACTTCTGTTCATTACTTTTTGCTTCTCTTCCTTCTCTCTCTAATATTTCCTTTTCCCTTTCTCCCCTCAGGTCTCTATACTTCCTTTTTTTCTACTTTATTCCTGCTATCATTATTCTTTCCTTTTTACTTTTATTTCTTATTTCTGTATTCCGTCCTTTTCCATTTTTTTCTCTTTTTTCATTTTATTCTTCCTGTCATTGTTCAGTTTCTTTTTTTCCTCCTTTTACCTTTATTCTTTCGGGTTTTACATTTTTCTACTTCCATTTTCTTTCTTTCTTTTATTCCTTTTACCTTCATCCTTTCTTTTTCCACATTTTTTCTTTCATTTTTTCCCTTTTTTCTTTTCATCTGAAGTCTTTCCTTTTCAGCCTTTTTTGTTTTCTGTTTCTATTCTTTCATTTTCTCTTTTTCCTTTTCTGTCAATTCTTTCATTTTTCTATTTTTATTTCTTATAGATGTATTCCTTCCCTTTTCATCTTTTTTCTTTTGCTCTTTTCTTTTTCTGTTTCTTTTTGTTTTTTTAACTTTTTATTCGTGAAATGTCTACACCTTTTGATTTTGATCATCTCTCGCTTTTATAGATTTACTCTATTAAGCACATTACGACACAAAGAGAAAATCATTTTTATCCATTCCAATTAATGCACATGATGTGTCTAATTCTTTCCAGTCTACAATTTTTTTTCTCCATTAGTTATGTCTTGCTTTCCCGCGTTTTTGGTTTATCAGATTTCTAGCTTTTTTTTCTACCATATTTCCTGTTGTGCTCTATCTTATTGTTTTCTTTCTTTCTACTATATTTCTTTTTTGGTTTGAGGGACATAAATAATTGCCTATTTCCAAACAGTGCTAGAGGTCAGTGCTCATTCAAGAGCAATGAATTCGAATGCTAATTTTCAAAGCATTCAATATATCATCACCATAAGAAAGAGTTTTTCTTCCCTTCTCTTTCCATTTAATCATGTGATGTACTAAGATAAACTTCGTAAATATCAACGTCCTTTATTATTATTATTATTATTATTATTATTATTATTATTTCCTTTGATTTCTGGTGTATACTCATTTCTTTCCGGGTCCTGACCAGAGACCGAAGGTCAGAAATGGCACCATGAGCAATGTCGAAAAAAAAATCACACATATTTTACATAGATAAAGATCTTCGTAAGGTGTGAGCTGTACTCGTGAGAACAATTTTTTGTATTTCTTTAAGGCATGGGCTACCAGGGGTTCCTACAATGAGTCTATCGGAATCTTTTCCAATTAATCCGAGGGTACCAACTACAACTGGAATTGTTAATGTCCTTATGTGCCACATTTTTGAGATTTCGATTTCAAGGTCCTTGTAATTTGATAGTTTTTTGAAGATCTTCAAAGATACATTACAGTCTTCAAGGACTGGCATGTCAATAAGAAGGGACATTTTGTCTTTGCGGTTTCTACTTACGATTTCAAGGCGATTAGTAGCACACCAACAAAGTGACATACCAATCTATAAGTCCAATATACTCATAGACTGATAAACGTATACCGAGCATTCAAATATGCACGATATAGTAAACTTGCAGCTGGGACATAGTTAGTAGGGTAGCCCCGTCTATTCAGGCAGTTTCTGAGAGTATTCTCAATTTTCTATATGCGACTTTCAGGTCGACTTGGTCGTCTCATCCTCCCAGATTAAATAAGACAACTTTCTCAGTATACGGCCGTAATATTCCCCAACTACCCCCACTCAAAAAGAGAGATTCACATTGCGTCAACCTCTAGGGAATATGTCCAACTTGATTATCGTTATTGTTATGAGATCCTCTCTAATCCTTATGTTTTCGGTCGAGATGATCCCATCCCTTATCCGAAGCTTAGAGACATATGATTTTCCTCAGCACTTGATCTTTCCTAAGCAGTGTTGCCATCTGCACACGCCCAATGATATCAGGTATCATCAAGGCGTTTTGCGAGGTAAAGAGATTCTATGGAGGTAGTCCTGAGTGTGTCAACCACTTGAGCCGCTGCTTGGTGCACTGTCTGCTTTTTTCTGCGAGGTGTTGTTACATCTGAATTTTCACATGCTATGCCTTCTTAATCGAAAGAACTGCAACGTCTATCAGGATTAATTGATGGTCGCTCTTGTGCAAATATCTCATATCAGGGCGATTGCTTTCCAAACGCTTGTTAATTGCGGCAGTCATATCACACATTCCCGTTTAATCACAGTGGTGAATGAGCTTACCACTTTTCTGAGCACTCGTTACCTAACTTCCTGGATTGTTTCTAGTTTATTCTGTATACTACTTTGTTTTGGTATATTATTATTATTATTATTATTATCATTATAAGTAGTAGTAGTAGTAGTATCTATTTTCTCTCCTTGCACTTTCCTTTTAACTTTCTTTTCATTCTTTCTTTTTACTTTGATTATCGCTGTTGACTTTTATTCTTTATAAGTTTGCGTCTTTCTTCTCGGATTTGTTTATTCTTCTCTACCATTTTTATTGTTTTCTTTTCATCCATTTCTATAATTCTTCGTCTTTTTCGTACGTTCTTCTCACTTTCCCGTCCTGGGGAAGTCAAAAACTACGTCCGCATTCTGGGTATGACGAGAAACTACGTCCGCGTCCTGGGTATGACTAGAAACTATGTCGAACAGCAAGATCTCTTATCAGGAGGTTTTGAGAAGCGTGGAGCCATCTCTTAATTACTGGTGTTCCCAGGTTCACCCTGACTCGCAGTGGTAGCACCTGTTAGGGTCCCAGCTATGAGCAAATAGTTGACCCCCAAACTGGCCTCAAAACAATATGAAAGTGTAAAAATAGGTTTTAATAGTAGAAATACTTTGTAATAAATTATTACCAGCAATACATTTTTGAAAAAAAAACAAACAAAAAAAAACATTACCAGCTATACATTTTTTGAAAAAATATTACAAGCGAAGGAAAATTATTACCAGAAATAGATTTTTTGAAGGAAAAATATTACCAGAAATAGATATTTGGAAAAAAATATTACCAACAATGAAAATTTTGTCGGCATTAAATAACCCATTGAGGTTGATTCGAAATAAACCAAACCAAACCAAAACCAACCTTCACGTTTTATAACTTTTAAAAATCGTTTGCTCTAATCGAGTTTATTTGCATTTATTGCATTTTCTGCTTCTTTCGTTTCTTTTCAATTTTCTGTCTTATTAATTCTCCGCCATTCTTTATGTTTCCTCTTCCTATCACAACTTTCTCTTTTTCTTCTTCTTTCGTTTTCTTCATTCTTACCTTTTGTCCTCTTTTTTACTTATTTTCATTTTCCTTTTTTTACGTCTTGTTCCTTGTGTTGTCCTTTTCTTTTTCATCATTTTTACATTACTTTTTCATTTTCGTCTTTATTTTCTTCGTCTTCATTTTCATTTTTTTGTCTTGTTCATTTTCATTGTCGTTTTCTTTTTCATCATTTTTACATTATTTTTTCATTTTCGTCTTTATTTTCTTCGTCTTCATTTTCATTTTTTTGTCTTGTTCCTTTTCATTGTCGTTTTCTTTTTCATCATTTTCCATTTTTTTTTTTCATCTTCGTTTTTATCTTCTTCGTCTTCATTTTCATTTTCTTTCTTGTTTTTTTTTTAACCTTCTTCATTATTCGTCTCTCCTTCTTCTTCTTCTTCTTCTTCTTCTTTAAAGCTAACGACACAAGATAGTTTACACTGATAGCTTTTCTTCTAATTTTTGTGCTTTTGGAGCGGAGATACGTTTTGATGGAAATCTTCGAAGAAAAACAGGAAGTGATAAACAGAACCAAAAATGATTTTCTAGGCAAAGACAAAATTCTTGTAAACCGAAGAGGAGGAAGGGCGCCTTGTCAAAACATCTGGCTACCTTTAAAATATTTCTGCAACATTTACTCACACACACACACGCATACACACTCACACACACACACACACACACACACACACACACATATATATATATATATATATATTATTTCAGTCAGGATTTTTTAAAAAATTTTTTGCGGCAAATTTTCATCTGTACTTTTTGCAATCTCTATTAAGTACGATGACGTTAGTAACAGTTTACTTGTATATGGCATCTCATTTATATTTGATGATGGCGAAAGTCTTCGGGACTGATGACTTTTCTTCTTTTCCTTGATAGAATTAAAGCGAATGTCACAGCCCCAAAGATAAGATATCAACAGTGACAGTTTTCCTTTACAGTAACCAGTCATAAACAATATAACACGGCTAAACGTTTAATATATAGATTACCTTAATCTGGTATGGGGCTACAAAAGTAAAACAGTGATAAGGGATCGAACTCACTTAACGACACGCTCAATGAATAATACCTGTGAAAGTAACTTATTGACTATCATCACTCTTATGTATGCTATATATATTGCCATATCTATATATATGGTAAAAAATATAGTTTGAAGGTAAGCAATATTTATTGGCAAAAGAGCTCAATATCAGAGATAGAGCGTACGTAAATATAAAAATGGACACAGAGGTCAAAATCGAGTGGCGACAGTCTGTTTGCATGCTTGAAACCAACCTTCAGGTGTTCAAGCATGAAAGTAATTGTCGTCGTTCAGTATTGACCTCAGTATGTTTGTATATATATATATATATATATATATATATATATATATATATATATATATATATATATATATATTATAAATTAATTGATTTAAAATATGTTTTTTCGCTACACAGTTCTAACCCTGTTTCAAAAATGTTCTTTCTTTTTATTTACAAACACACACACACACACACACATATCTATATATATATATATATATATATATATATATATATATATATATATATATATATATTAAGCATCTATTTATCTACCGCGATAATGCAATAATGGTAGCTCCCTGTTCAGGTCCCTCTTGAAAACGGTGTCCCATGATCGGCTCACTGTACATGATACCATTTGGTATGTGACCACCATTCATTCGATGTACATGGACCAGCTATAGAAGACACAGAATACGATGCAGGCTCCAAGAGTCTGCCTGCTCCAGCACAACAGTGTCGCTAACGTAGTTTACCCATGAGATCATGAGGATATATATATATATATATATATATATATATATATATATATATATATATATATATATATATATATATATATATATATATATATTGTTTCAAATGTGCTATATTCAAAGAGGTAGAGGGTTTAAAAATATATATATATAGCCTGGAAAAAAAGAACTGAAAAGGCCACTTTTTTAATCCTCTATTGACAGATATCTATATCCTGATATATATATATATATATATATATATATATATATATATATATATATATATATTAGCTGAAATTGAGAAAAAATAACATCTATGCCTGAGGATGGTAAATGTTTTTACCGAAAGTACTTGCAATATCTAATCCATTTTACAATTAATAGAAACAAGGATCGTGGTCGTTCAGCGAATGCTCAGTTAGTTAATACATTATTTAATATGTTAGCGAAATGAATTCGCCATTAATTACATTAACTTTATTGATTTATTTTTTTAATGACCTCTTTACAATATATATATATATATATATATATATATATATATATATATATATATATATATAGGTAGCTAAAATAGTAGTGGCACTTAATTCGAAGCTGTCACTATCACACTATCTTTCTCCTTTTCTCTTTCTCTCACACACACACACACACACACACATACAAACACACACATATATATACATATTGGTTAAAGACAAGTGAAAGGTCATTATAAAAATATTTATTTTTTGTATATTTCAAACAATTTTCCTTATTTCCGCTGAAAAGCTAAATATATATTGTTCAATACCTGAATATTTTCGGCTTTCAATTAGCTATTAACTAATTGTTTTTGTTTCATTTTCAGCTTCATCATGTTTCAAGTATTTACGTAACGGTTCGTCTTTTCGTGTCGTTAATTTTTTTTTATTCATGAAATATATTTGCTATGTGTTTTTTTAAAATTGGTAAATTGTTGGCGGGGTGTTGAGTTGTTTGTTTGCTCAATGCTTCACATATTTGTAGTCGCTTACATAGATACACAACTATGAATGATTTATTTATATATTTCCTGAGCCATCTTTACTGGAATGGGAGGTAAGTCAACTTAAGTTAGTAAATTTATACTTGATTACTTCCCTTAGTTATTTTAATAATCTATACAAAATATATATATATATATATATATATATATATATATATATATATATATACATTTAGACAAAATTACTTTCCAACCATTAATTAACCAGTTCCTTTTACTTCTACGTTTCTTAGACTGCAGTCTTATTTGTTCAAGCTGTTCATGTGACGCACTCAGATACCTTTGTCTATTAAGTGATCGTCTTGCGTCAACTTGGTCTTGAAATAGGCTTTGTCGACGCCGTGTCGTTCTGTTGCTAATCGTTTTTCTTTCGAGAGACATTTCCATTTCAGTGTTATATTAAACACATAACATTTTAAACATGAAAAGATATTGAGCAAAAAGTGATTCATATAATAACAGGAGTAATCTATTAATCATAGATACCACCGAACATCTAAAAATATAAAACGCACAGATTAATTAAACGGTCCATTGGCCTCTATTTTAATTGTGAATTCTTTATCTCCGGTTCACTGAATCTCAAGACATTGTTTCAAGACTTTTGTTTTATTGCATCTCGCTATTAAAACTTTCTAACAATTGCTGTCATTTTTGACGGCACGTGCACAACAGTAATAATAA